GTATATGAGGGTTTCTGCTTCCTTTGGCTGGCAGCGCTGTCTTTAACGGTGAGTCCACAGATTGGCCTCCCCCTCTCTGCAGTCTAATCCATGACTGTACACCAGCATCCAGCACAGACCTCCACTGATTCTCTCAGGAATTTTTATTTTCGGGACTTGGTTAAAATCATTGTGAAATTATGGAGGATCATGTGTTCGGCAGCTCTATGCCAAAATCCCAAATAACTGATGAAGATTTACGATTCAATCATTGGTAGATGTTAGTGTGATGGTCACATTGTCATACTTTTTTTTTTTTGTACTTTGTACCAGATACCGACCTGCATGCAGTGATAAAGAAAGGCACCCTACTGAAGGACATCCACAAACGTTATGTGATGTACCAGCTCCTCAAAGCCATCAAATACCTGCATTCAGGAAATGTTATCCACAGGGACCAAAAGGTACGCTAGGTAGACAGTATATTAGTCCATTAATCCATTAGTATTTAAAGTATGTTTTTTAGAAACTTAAAACATATCACAGTTAAAAAATGAGTCCTTATTTCTATTTAAAGAAATCCAACTTAAATACCGGCATTGTACTTGTACCCTCACGGTATCACAATGATGTCCTTTATCATTGTTTGTGGTTGCTTCTTACTTAATTAATCAAGTCACTGTTTGGTTTTTGATGTCTGAAAATATAGTGAAAAGTAGTGCAAGTCACAATTTCCTGGAGCCCAAGTTGAGCTCCTAAAATAGCTTGTTTTGGTCGACCAACAGTCCAAAACCTAAAGCTTTTCTGTCTTATGCTGATATAAAATCCAGAAAATTGTTAATTATTTCAGCTCTAATGTAAATCGAAGCAACTATGTACAAAATACTGTTTTCATGTAATCACATTCACTAACACCTGCAGAAGTCTGCAGGAAATCTGCTGACATGTTTAGAGAAAATGGCCTCTGACCCTAGAGACTAGAATTTCATCCCTCCTTCTCTCCTATAACACCTCTTTTCACTCCTCGGGAGATTTCTGTTTTCATACCTGGATCGAGGGGCTCGATTTGACCTCTCTGTGAAAACCAAACTATTATTGTCCCTGTGAAGAGTGTTTCTCTTGTCTGTGTTTCCCACAGCCATCCAATGTGCTGCTGGACACTGACTGTGTAGTCAAGCTGTGTGATTTCGGCTTGGCCCGATCCCTCAATCAGATCAAAGAGGACAGCGGGAATCCAGCACTGACGGAGTACGTGGCGACGCGGTGGTACCGAGCTCCTGAGATCCTGCTGGGATCCACGAGGTATCAACTGGGATGTGCATGTGTTAGTCAGTATCTGTGCCACATCTTCTTGTTGTCCTTTTTCTTCAAAGCAGTGGATTTAACAATGATGAAGAACTTGACATTAAAACATTTTAATTCAAGGGACAAAATGTTTCTGTGGAAAGTAAGTTATGAGTGTTGCAGACTGTAAGAGGAGTACATCTTGTCCAAAGGTACACTAAAGGTGTGGACATGTGGAGCCTCGGCTGTATCCTGGGAGAGATGCTGCTGGGAAAAGCCCTGTTCCCCGGGACATCCACCATCAACCAGATAGAGAAGATCATGAGCGCCATACCACACCCCAGCCCAGAAGGTAATTAAAGAACTCCACATGAAAGTCATTTAAACCCTTTACACTTTACTTTTAGTAATGGGCTGCATTAATCACTATTAATAAGTATTAAATGTGATTTAACTTTCAGATATTCTCGCAATCAAGTCTGAATACGGATCCTCTGTCATTCAGAAAATGTTACTGAAGTAAGAAAATCTTCTTTTATGTTGTGAAAATCCTACAGAACATAGTACATGTTAACAATGAAAGAGGTTGCTTTTGTATGTGTAGCCTACTTGTAAATATAAATAACCAACAATGCATCTGTTGAATTTCACTCAGTCAGCTCACATGGATTACTTTGTTAATATGTAAATACAGAGTGTGCACAGATTCTGGTGGCATAGAGCTAGTTTTGTGAGTGATAATAACAAATGTCCTCCCCTCCACTGGGAAGACTGTCGGGGGCCTGATTACAGTACATTCTCAGAGAGCAGTAGTTATTGTGGAGATGCAGTGACAAAGCAAAATCATGAACTGTAATGCAGCTTTAAAAGACCACCTTGTTGAAAAGGGTGTGTTGGATATGAGCAATCACGCTTGCGATATTTCCGATCTTTGCACAGGACAGGAGGGTTTGTAAACAGCACATATCTGTCTGTACTTTAAAAGGAAAAAGTATTGGTATTTTTGTATCTTTTATTCTCAAACTCAAATTTGGTCTGATATTTTCAATCAAATCTCCTGTCTCCATATGTGAAAGAAGTTCTCCAACCAAAAAACTGTTGGTTGTCGTAGATATGGTTGCATTGTGGGTAATGTAGGCGTCAGGTTTTGACAAGGAAGTCAAATTCATGGAATAAAAAAAAACGATAGCTCTTGTTCTGCTGCATCGATTTTTATACTTTAAAAAAACAAACTGTACAATGTTATTCTGTTACAGCAGAATGCTAAATCTCTGATGTACCCTTTAAAACATCTCCCTTCCTTCCTTCACCAGACCACAGGTGCCTTTGGAGGATCTTCTCCAGCCCACTGTGTCTCCTGATGCTCTGGACCTGTTGAGAGGTTTGCTAGTTTTCAACCCAGACAAGCGGCTGACTGCTGAGCAAGCCCTCCAACACCCCTATGTAGCCAGGTATATTTGAGATGTCTTTTTATTCTGTTCTCTTTACTGTGCTTAGGTGAACAGTAAATGTCCTGTATGTTTTGCTGCATAGATCAAGTTTATAGAGATGAATATTTGATAAGTGATAGCACTTTATTACTACTAAGTGCTATCATTTATCCATATTTGTGTTTTCTGTCTCTGGAGGTTTCATAATCCAGCCAAGGAGCCAGCTCTTAACTATGATGTCGTGCTAACAGTGGATGATGATGTACAATTATCTGTGGTTCAGTACCGCAACCAACTTTATGAGGTAAAAAAAAAAAAAAAAGTGTCATAAATGTTGGCAACATTGAATTTAATCTTTACCATATTACATAACAGTGTATTACAAAAATAATATGTTTTTGACCTGATCACACAGGTTAAACCTAATTGTCCTCTTTACCTGCAGATGATGCTGGAGAGGAGAACTAATCAGGGGGTGCTAAGGCTGATCCACCCAAAAGATGGAGGCTGTGTCAGTATCACTGAGAAGACCAAAGTGAAGGATGGAGTAGAGAAGGGCGCAGTGGCAGCGGATGGGGAGGAAGACCATGAGGGGAAAACACAACATGAAATGACTGAAGAGACAAACCACGAGCCTTCACATGCAGGCGTCACTAAACCTGGAACTGTGGATGTGTCAGCTCCTCCTGCTGTAGAGAAGACGAGTCCGTTATCTGGCCCTTGCTTGGGAAAACTCACATATAACCCCATCACACATGCCCCAAGTATGTCTGACTTTTATTTGTTCCTGGGATGGGTATCAAAATTCAATACTTTTTTGGTACTGATCAAAATATGTTCGTAACACAGAGAAAAAAAAACAAGACTGAGTGTTCTGTGTATTATCACAATATCTAGACCGAAAAAAAAGAATGCTATCAGTTAAATTTCTCTTTAGCTTTGTTTATTGTGTGTTTTGTCTCTTTTTCTGGTCAACGATTCATTCAAAATAGGTTTGTAGGGAGGTAGAAAGAGGCTGTCATGCTATATATAACATCTTTTGAGAGGCGCTGGATTATTGACACGATATTATCAAATGTGTATTATCAAAGTGGTATCAATATTTCATTTTTTAATATTGTGTTTATTGTCAATAACAGTATATTTCTAGAACCCTTGATATCAGTAGAGCAACTCAGGTTTCGTATCAGCCCTGATTTCCATTCCATTACAAATCTAAACTAAGCAATACATGTATTTCACATGCATCCCTCAAACACAGTACACATCCACACGCTCTCAGGTTGAAAACAACAACTCTTTTCTTCATTCAGATGGTTTTGTTCAGAGTCCAACTGGTCCTCCTCATTGCTACCCCTCCACTGCAGCCAGCAGGAAACTAATGGGACAGACCAGTAATGGAGGTGCAACATCACCCACAGAGGGCGCCAACACTAATGTAGTAAGCAACAGACCTCAGTGCAATTCCTGCTCAGTTTTGTTTTCTCTAGCTGTGATGTAATCTAGTTTTGTTTTTACATCCTACATTTTTTGCCTTCTTGCATTCTCTCCTGCTCGTGATGTTGCTGTGGCTCGGTCTGTAAGCTGCTCTGTCTCTTGTTTCTACCTTCACTAGTCCATGGACCAGATTCTCCAGCGTGGTCGCTCAGCCAATGTGGCCCATAACCGCTCCTTCTCCTTGACCCTAAACCAAACCCACAACAACCCGCTGGTTCGCAAGGATGAGCCGTCCCTGTCCTCTGGGCTGTGCGTCACATCGGCACGCCTGGTTAGTACGCCACATCTCAGGACATGTACAATATAACTCAATGCCAGGATGCAATTTCAGGCTAATAACATGCTTGAGACAATACATATTAAAGATATATGGACATGGACTTTACTGAGATGGAATGGCTGTCGTGGCTTGTCTAACTTTCTTCCCATGCAGAACCAGCGCTCCAACTCTCAGGTTCGAGAGGCTCGCCCACCGACACGGTTCAGCAAGAAAGTATTTCAGAGTAACTGTAACGTGGCAGCTGCAGGCGACCCTCGAGCCAAACTTGGCAGCTATTCCCAGGCCTATGGTACCATCAACAAGACTGATCTAGACAATCTGCTTCGAAGACGCCCTTACAACCAGTAATTGCTGTCATGTCAGCGGTAACAAAGGGGCCAAACGAACTCACATAAGATTTGCCTTCCACAAGGATGTTAGACACGAGGCAAGCTGAAAGAGAACTTGTCAAATTACATGATTTTTCATGTTAATCTATGTAGCTAATGAGCTACAGGCTAAATGGTTTATGCCCATTAAGCCTGATGGTTTCTGATGGACACATGATAATTGTAAAATATGCAAATAGGTGTTTGAAATTGATTGATGCAATAATAAATAGTTTTTCATGTGAATGCAGCAGCAATAAGCCTACTTGTTCCTATAATGTGTACAGAAAGAAAAACATTAGTGTTTCTTGAACCCAGTTTGTAATGTTTAACAGACATGGATGAATGTGGCAATAAACCACCACAACGTTTAATAATAATAAACAGAGGTGGAAATACTCAGATCCTTGCTTTTTACTTGAAATATTGTATACTTTGACCTCTTTGGGCCTCAAACCTTTATTTATATTATCTAAAATGAATGGTATCTAGAAGTCTCGAGGAAAATCTGTCTTTGGTGGAACTGCTAACAACTCAGACATCTGAGACATGTCGAGGGGCCTCAAGGAGACACTGCTTTTTGTAAGAGGTCACAAGCCTGGAAAAAAAAAGAGCCTGGAAACCACTGGTTTAGTCTTAAACAATGCCCGTATTTATAAGATTATCATGTGTTTTTATATCTAAAATTTGAATCTGAAAGGTGTCAGATAAATGTAGTGGAGTACAAAGTACTTGCCTGATATCAGACAGAATTATCAACTCTTGAGTATTGACAGTAGAAGTGTAAAGTAATAAGTGATGGGATGGAAGAAGTACTCTTTTACTCTTTTTTATCTGTTATATAAGTAAAAGTAGTATTCCAACATTGTAGAAATACTCTGTTTCAAGTAAAAGTCCTGCATTCAAAATTTGACTTTTGTAAAACTACAAATGTATTAGAATCAAAATAATATTAAATTACCTCAAGTGAAAGTATACTCATTATGCAGAATGGCCAATTTCAGAAATTGTATTATAGTTATTGATGCATTTATGTGTCAGCATCCCTTTAAGGTTGCAGTTGGTTAAGATTGGGGTTGTGTTAACAATCTTGCTTAATCTAAAATATTGTATTAATTGTATTTTTGTAAAGTAATCAGTTACTACAGCTGTTACAGTGCTGTTGTTATGCATCATGCAGCAGGACCCTTCACGATCTAGATCGCAGTATTTTGTTTGTCAAGCATGTGCAGAACTTTAACTGCACATCTCTCTCTCTCTCTCTCTCTCTCCCTCCCTCCCTCTTTCCCTCTCTCCCTCTCTCTTATATGACCATAACGAAAGACACTGCGTCATTATGGCGGGAGCGCAGATAAATTGTGTCACTTTGTGAAACACGCGGAGATTCCCCACACACCACGTGACGACGTCGTGTGTTGTCGTCAGAGGTTCAGTTGTTCAGTCCGAGTCCAGAGACCAGAGACCAGGAGGAGGAGAAGGCAGAGCTAATGTCGGCAGACACTTTGACATAAACACAGTAAAGGTACGTGCGTTACACGTTTGCTGCGACTACGTTTATGTGTGTCTATGTAGAAGCTGTTTTAAAACACATATGCTGGTTGTGCGGCTAGCAGGCTGTGGTTAGAGCACCGCTCAGCATCCTGTCTGTCGTAACGTCAGCGAGACAGAAAGCGGTGAATTAATAACACAAACAGATGGTGTTAACGGTTCATTTCTACCGAGGTGGATGTATTAAGACACAGAGATGATACATTTTGCTTAAAAAGGAGCTGACAAAAAGACAAACGGATGCTCTCGGTGTCGCAGTGTGTCTGGTGAGGCCTAACGCTGCAGGTGCACCGTGAAAACGAGGCTCTGTGTTTGTGCTTCATGATTCTGGTCCTTTGAATAACCGTCATCCCTCTTTGATCCAGACGGGTTTCATTTCGGTGTGTTTTTAAGTCACTATACATTGCGTATAATTAATATAACGTTATGTGGTTCGGGTTAGGAGGTTAGTAAATTATTTACATTTTTATTTTTTAAGAATTTATCAAGCTAAAAAAAACATTCAGTGGTTCCAGCTTCTCAAATGTAAGGATTTACTACTTGTATTTCTTTGTAAACTTAATTTCTATGATCACAAACTAAATATTTGTTAGAATTTAATACAGTCAATATAGTGACAGACATTTCTCACTATATTCTGACATTTAGTTGACCAAACAAGCTATCAATTAGTTTAATGAATGATTTTTATGTCAATCGATAATAAAAGCAACTGTTAGTTGCACCTATATACATTTCTTAGCTTTTCTTTGATATCAATGATATAATCTATTTTAATTACAATCATTTATGCTTCATACTGTAATTAAACAGGATGGTTAATTTTACAAAAATATATTTTGTAATAATAAGATAACAACCGAGCAGGTCCTTTCACTTACCTAGCTAGTAGTGGTATATTTAACGTTTATGTCATGAACTCAGATGAACATGTACTCCATTAACTGATTAGTTAATAAGACAACTGTTTTGATAAGAGATTAATCATTGAAGTGATTTTAAATAAAAAAGGACTAGTGTCAGGATTTGCTGCTCTTCTCTGATTTATATTATTTTAACTGAATTTATTTTTGGACTGTTGGTCAAACATTACAAGACATGTAAAGACACCCCCTTGGGCTGTGATGGAAACTTTTTACAATGTTCTGACATTTTACAGACCAAACCATATGTTCATTAATCAAGAAGAATGTGCTAATTAATCGGTTATGAAAATGATCATTAGTTGCAACCCTAATATTGTTTTGTAGTCAATTGAGAAACTGCTCTTTGATGCAATAACGAGACCTGTTTGTTTTTGGCTAAACCAATAAATGACATGCTTGGAATAGATGCAATATTATAACAACAATATTAATGCCACGATATTACCCATATCCTGATTCTACGTTAGGCCTTCTCCATGATTCATCCACACATCTCCAAATATATGCTGTCTCCATCAGCCAAAAGCTGTCCTTTGCTATGTATCCTTTTAATAATGTGCGACATTTTGAACTGAGAAACTTAAAAATGTGTTATAACAAGATAAACTGGTACACACTTTTACGTTGTAATGAGTTATTATGAAGAATAAATGAGAATTCTTTCACTATGGTTGCAGTATGTCACCATACTATGCTAATCTACCATCTGTCACAAGGTGAGGCGTCTGCAGGTTTGACGTAGCAAGAGCTGCTGACACGGCGCGTTACAATGACAACAATCTTGCCAGAGTGCTGCATCGGCTGGCAGAAAGGCAGCGACTCGGTGGGGGATTTATCCACCAGGTGGTCCTAATGGCGCTTTGAGGAGTTAGATTAAAATTCAGCTGGATCTGTGGTTGATACAGTGTTTGAAAAACAACCTCATGACACTTTTATTTATGATATCACTCAGTGATAGTTCTACATGTTTGTTTAAAGTATTGCATATCAAAAGTTTTACACTTGATCTTTAGAACAAGTGGTATTTTCATTTTATCCAAGTCATCCTCCATCAAAGATCGCAACTTCTCATTTTTAACGTGTTGAGGCGCCACGGATTTCACCACACAAACCTCTGTATAGGCCCCACTGCTTTTTGTGTTTCCTGGTGTTGCTTTGGTATGCACATATGTTGTATGTGGGTTTGTGGAGGTATTGTGTTAGCCCCCCCCCCCTTAACCTAATTCCCCCGGCGATAGCTATCAGCAGATAGTGGCGCTGTCCTTATCCATCTAGCGTCGGAGCGTCTCTCCTAAGAGGATTTGAAATCACCCACGTAATGCTTGTAAAGCTGAACACAATCTGTGGCTCAAACTGATTCACCCCTCTCAGAAAAAAAAGAGACTGTATTGACAATATTCACTTACACCACAGACGTGGAAGTGAAACTATTTGGTCGTTGAATTAACCTTGTGTGGCTGGCAGACAGGGCGCTGACTGTTAATGTGCTTTACTGAAGAGCCTTGAGATTGTTTTCTTCGAGAAAGACCAGCGTTATTTATTTATTCATTTACTCTTTGTTTATTTATTTACACTTTTTGACTATTAAATCAAGTAGTTTTTAAGCGATTACAGCTCCATGTATCAGAGGAGAAGACAGTCTCTGCTGACCTAGCTCATGCACATTTCTGATATTCTCTTCACTCTGTGGTGTGTTACTATGAAGTAATCCATCATGCACAGATAACAGGCTCCCAGAAATCACTTATGTTGACTTACATGACTTATTTAGGAATATGAATAAGCACTGGGGAATAATTCAATTATTGTTTACAATTATACTTTGATGATATTGTCATGATCATGTTATCATTCTAGAAATGTCTGTGTTATCGAAACTTGTAAATCACAACAAGTTGTAACTATAGATTAATTAAGTTGATAAGTTATAATAAGCTGACAAAAATGATAATAAACTAATATCTTTGAGCTTTGCACAGTTGGTTGGAAAAAAAAAAGAAAAAAAAAGAAGGCAATTTGATGACATCACCTTGAGCGTAAGGATTTTTAATAGACCAAACACTAATATATGAATGGAAAAAGACATGGAGCACAGTTTGTTGCTTCGTACATCGCAATGATTCTTTTACATGTGATCTCAGCCTGATATCTCAGCGCTTCGAGTCCACAGTTACAAACTTAATTGCTTTACATGAACATTGGACAGGGAGGGATCACATGCCTTGACGATGTGTGTCACATCAGTTAAGGACTCATGGGTTATTCAGTTACATCTCAGTGTTCGCTCAGACGCCCTCCGTCTTTGTGTGACGCAAGCAAACGAAACCTCAGTTGTGTTACAGAATGACTCAGTAGGATGTTTCTCATTTCAGGTCAAGAGAGGGATCCTTTAAGATAAAAAAATATTGACTGCAGTGCAAACATTTCCATCATGGATAAATTCATTTTTTTCAAGTAATTCAACAGAATTGCTGTACTCTGTGTGTACTATATGCCCCCCCTCCCTTACACAACCATTGTTGTCCGGAAAGCCGGGGAGGGATTTGGCGCTCCTCAGATGATGATTGTAATCTGTTATGATCTTAATGGAGACGGTCTGTATGCAGCGGCCATGTTTGTCTGCAGTCTCTCGTTGCACTGTCCCCGTGATGGGCAGACAGACGTCATGAGGACACACTCTGGAGTCTGGAGAAATAGAGCAGTGTTGCATAACGCTCACTGTGTGGCCTAGAAAGAGGGAAGGAGAAAGACAGAGCGAGTGTGAGAACGCTGGATGTTTAGCTTTCTGTTTGTACTCATGTATTTATATGGTGGTGTGAGTGTGAAAGATATAGCATAAGGAGGACTGAGAGTGTGTTTGCTTGTGTTTGCATATGCATGCATGATTTATACAACTGTACTGTCTATCACCACCGTGAAGTCTGTCCGCTGCAGACTCCTGCTTTTCTTTTACAGTCAGCAATTAGGGGGATGGCTTTTGGCTCCCGCCCTGCCAGTGGAGAGTTTTTCTTACAGCTCTTTCATATGAAACCTGCACAGCACATTTTTAAAGCACTAATCAACCTTGTAAATCTGACCTCACTTGCGGAAAGATTTCTGTTTTCTAGTGTGCAGCCTTGTGTCATGCATGTACAGCCCTGTGTCATGCATGTACATGGTCAATTAGCCTCATGCTGTAGACAGAAAGGGGAGGGGGGGGCACTGCAGTAATGGCCAATACGTCAGGCATCTTCCTGAATCAAAGCAGATTAATAATACATGATACTCTTGCATCATCCGTTGCTTTACTTTCTATGCTGGCTAAATCAATACAGTTAGTGTGTGAGATTGACAGGTTTATGTAGTTATCAATCAAGTTTCCACTGAGAGCAGGTTCACTCACAGCTGTAAAAAGGATCCGGTACACCTTGTGTGTTGTGTTAAAGCCTTGTTATTTGGGAAGTTGCACAGTGACATGTCACAATGACAAAATCCTTTCAAAATGACTCTATGACATTCTGTACAAGTTGCATAAAAAGACAGTTCAGGGGTTGATCACTTTTTGCCACCATCACACCCCACCATGGCGGGGTAACAACAATTAGATGATCAATCTGAAATTAATCGGAAGAAAATTAATCAGCAACTCTGATTAATTGTATTAATTGTCAAAGTCACTTTTTAAGCAAAAAGGTCAAACATCAACTAATTGAATATATTGGAGTTCTGGACACTTGATAAGACCAAAACAATGATGAGTAGTATAAACTTGACTTGCCATTAGTTTTTAAAATGTCCTCTTTAGTTGTATTCTTGCCGTTGATAATGCGGTGTAACCCCGGTCTCTTGCTCTCTCCACTACTGCAGGTGTTGCAACAGTCTTTGTCGTTGAAAGGGCCTTTGGTGGCTCATCTCTTTTTCTATTGTTTTCCTCCTGATCCCTCACAGCCTAGTTTTCTCTCTCAAAGGCCCCGTGTTCCTTGCAAGTTTCAGCATCAATGACAGTTTTTTTTTTCCAGGTTTGTCCTCAACAGGACCATGTGAAGACCAATCGCATTTGATTTGTATCTGTAGAGTGAATAACATGCATATTTTAGCAGAAACAAATCCACCCAGAAAAGGAAGGTAAAACAGCTGGATTGCGCTATAGTCCTCACTACCTCTGTCCTCTTTTGCTGCAACATTGTTTGATTGCCAGTCACCTTTTTAATCAGGGATATGCAGGGCTTGTGTCTCTGCCAGTTTGGCCTACATACTGAACCATCATTACTTTTTCTCTGCTTACCTCTGAGACATTTGTTACAACCGGCTCGGGAGTCGCGACATATAGGAGGGACAAAACACCAAGTTAGGTTAAAAACAACCACAGCTGCCAGTTTATTTACAGGACACAAGTAAACTGTAGTGTGCAAATCCCTCTGGTGCCAGGCAGATGAGAGAGAGAGAGCGAGGGTGGAGCAAGGAGGCGCTTGTATAGGTAAACCACATCCTCATCCAGGTGCCCTCAATCACTCGTTAGGGAGCTGCACCTAGAAGTCAAAAGACACAGAATACACACGCATGCACACGCCCAAGCACAAACATTCACAGCAGGACATAGAACCATACATAACACATTCTATAAATATTCATACTGCAAACATAAGATTTTAATTTACATCTTTTACATTGTTTGTGCTGGATACAGACGTTTAATCCTAATTTTCCTTCTCTTCATCTCATAGATTGTTCTAGCAGCAGAGTGAGCCATCATGTCCCAGGACAAGAGTGGATACCCTGTTATGGGTGAGAACAACCCACTTCACAACAACGTCTATGGACCCCCTCAGCCAGGTTTCGGCATGCCCCCTCCCAACTACAGCCAAGCCCCAGTGGGTCCGTACCCTCCAGCCACCGGCTACGGACAGCCAGGCTTCCCCCAGGCCGGCCCCGGCTTCGCCCCTGGTCCCTACCCTCAGATGCCTTACCCTCAGATGCCCTACCCACAGGGGCCCTACCCTCAGGGGCCTTATCAGCAAGGACCCGCACAGCCAGGCGTTCCCGGTGACCCAACGGGTGAGTGGTTAAACCAAAGATGTGAGGCATTTATAAACAGACTTTTCCTTTTCTAGCCCACCTTATTCTTTGTTGTTAGATACTTTAATGTGACTCAGAGGTGATAAACCATTATAGAACCAAAAAAGTGCCTCTATGACAGTGAGCACATCATGTCATTTACACACTAAAGGCCTGTGAATGCTAGAAGAACTGTAAACGTTATCCAGAACGACAAGAAAACCTCCTGCTCTAGTTTAACTCATGCTCAACACAGACGACTGGGCAATCAATGGGATCCATACTACAATCGGAGTGTGCCGAAAACACCACAGACACGTGTCCATTTGTTCGGCCTGGCTTGTTTGCCAGTTGTTTCATGCCAGTGCACACTGCGCCAAAGTTCAGCCAGATTGAACACTTAGCTGCGCAAGCCTTTGGAAATAATGTGAATAATAAAACAAAAACAAACTGTTGTCCTTGTTTTTTTGTCTTTCACCAGCTCCTACCGACAGTCCTAGTTATCATGGCGACGGGCCTCCATCTTACTACGACAACGAGGAGTTCACCGACTCCGGCTTTGAGGACAAGACCATCAGACAAGCCTTCATCAGAAAAGTAGGTCCTTCACCTTGACAGGCAGATTAAATGGCTCGGATAAAGGGGGAAAATAAAGCATGAAATATAACTTTAATAACATAGAAAAGCAACCAAAACATAATTGTTTCATCTCCCCGTCTATCCTCCGTCCCACCAGGTCTTCTTGGTCCTCACAGTGCAGCTGATGGTCACGTTCTCGTTCGTTGCCATCTTCACCTTTGTCGACGAGGCCAAGTTATTTGTGCGGCGCAATCCATGGACGTACTACGTGTCCTACGCCGTCTTCTTTGTGTCTCTGATCGTCCTCAGCTGTTGTGGAGAGTTCCGCCGCAAGCACCCCTGGAACTTGGTTGCGCTGGTAAGAATTTGCCCGAATACCAAATCACAAAAAAAGTATGGATTAACATCTAATTGGAGCTGCATCAAACATGCATTCCAAACATCTAAACTAAAGACCATATGTGTGTGTTGTTTTTTGAGACAGACGTATGGTCCATCTTTCCATCATCATTACCTGAATCTACGACGTGTAAAGTGTGTCATAAGTGATGCTGATTACAATGTGTGTTTTCTGTGTCTTGCAGTCCATCCTGACCCTGAGTCTCTCCTACATGGTGGGCATGATTGCCAGCTTCTATGACACAGAGACCGTCATCATGGCCGTGGGCATCACTGCAGTGGTCTGCTTCACTGTCGTGCTCTTCTCGCTACAGGTCAGCACACACAAACAGCTGTTTGAATACGTGCTTTTAAATGTCTAACATCAGTCAATCTCACACGGCACACTGAATTATCACTGTCTTTTTATTTAGAGAGAGAGAGAGAGAGAGAGAGAGAGAGAGAGAGAGAGAGAGAGAGA